GTGTCTTTACCAGGACAGTTACTAATGTCGGTTCAGCAAACTCAATCTACACCGTCCGGATGTACTCTCCTTCCAATTTCTCCATTAGTGTGGAGCCACAAGTTCTGTCATTCTCAACAGTGGGAGAGAAGAAATCATACACCGTGAAGGTCACCGGTGGAACGATTTCACAGCAGAAGATCATGTCGGGTGCGATCATATGGACAGATGGGGATTACCAGTATGAAGTGAGGAGCCCAGTTGTGGTGTACAATGTTCTTCCTGGTTATACTTACTTCCCTCCACAGAACTCAAAGTTTCAGAAGAAACCAACATTCCAAGGTCCATCCATGTATCAAAAGTATGGAATCCTTGGACGTAACTGATAACCATTTCTCATTACAAGCAACTTGCATCCAAGGTTGCCTTTGCGCATTTGACTTTGGTATTGAGTATTGACCGTTTCTAAACGATTGAAATAAGACAGCGAGAAAGAACTAGTTTTGCTGTCGGGATTTGCTCCTTTTTTCTGCCTCTCTCATTCTCAAGAAGTGAGAAAGCTTTTGCTCACTGATGCTTAGGGTTGTATCAACTACTACTGTAAGTTGATTTGGTTTGCAATAAAATTTGAGCTGTCACCATTATAATTCATCGCAAAGTCATCCCAAAAAGGAAAAAAGACAACCTCTGAGCAATCTGATTAGTAAGAACATGATGCTAGATATCTTTTTCTTCCATTCTCAACGGCGGCGGACATTAACAGTCATTAAAATTAGTGAATTTTCCTCCATTTTTGCGGGGCCATTTTCCTCTTCAGACCTTCGCCCTGCCTTAATGCATTAAGGCAGTTTAAGCGAATTGCAGATTTTAAGATGGTTCATGATATATTCTTTCTTTGTGAGAATGGAAGTTGAGGAGGTAGCAACGATTTCAAAACATGGAAAGCTTGAGGAAAGCTTAGTCAGTAATTTCGTTCGACTATTATCTTAAATATTATCAGTAAAATTAGAATAAGATATCACATTTGAAAATTGTGAATCAACATTTTTATAAATTAAAAAAATAATTAAATTTATTTATATTGTACTTGAACACTTTTATTTTGTTGCAAACGATTTACCGATCAATCTTGGATTAACACCCTAAGTATTTCTAAGTTATGTGATTGTGTGTTAATATAGACGTGAGATGCCACCTACCAAGCCCTTTTTTTTTTAACTTGTACTCATGAACTTAGCTCCGACCAATTAGAAGAAAAGTTATGGAGGAGCAGGCAGACCATGCATCCTGCTTAAGAAGAACACCGAAGAGGGTGGTTCAAATGGACATTGCATGTATCATGCATACTTCTTTCTTTCTTCATTCTAAAACAAATTATGTTCATTTAGAAGAGGCCAAGACAGAAATAGAACAATTAATTGCTAAATTAAACCTGATTTTTTTTTTGTGTATATGTCTTAAGAAATGAATTAGTAAGGACTCATTTCGTTTTAGCATTTTTCTTTACTAACGATTAAAATATATGAAAATCAATGGCCAGCCAAATTAAATTGTCCAAATATTTCAATCTTTGGAAGTATAAACACAATGTAGAAGTATTGAATATCCGTCAATGAGTTTGACGTGACTAAATTTTCTATATAAACATTTGAAATAAAAAAATTTTCTGTGAGTAAACTCTGAAACTAATGCAATTAAGAATACTTATTGTTATCAATGTATTTACTTAATATATCAGAATTTAAAACTATCTAATAAGCTTTGTAATAGGAAACAAATATAACAACTTTAGTACATCTGTTGCTTTGTTACTTATCATAGATCCTTTTGATGGGGCAAGCACTTGAATGTATCGCCATTTTTGATCCTAAGATTATCAGCTTCCAAGAGACCGATTGAAGCATACAGTATTTTTCTTGACATACACGGAACCAATAAAGAATATCTACGGAATGACCAACATGAAAAGGAAGGATGATAGGACAACTTAATACAGATAAACGAGAATTAGATGGACCTTCTCGTAACCTTGTTAGAGACGGCCACGTTTTTTGTTTTTGGAGACACTGACGACCAAAACAACATTCGACTTTCCCGTTAGTTGTTTGCAAATTCTTTATCACTTTTCAGTCAAGTTCTAAAATTGTTTTGTTGTACAATGTAAAGAAACTTGGAGACAACAGCAAAAGCCAGAAGCAGAAGAAGGCTAGCCTGGTGCCAGTAAAGCACAGAAGAAGCCATATACCAACATAACAATCATCAAAATCTATCCTATAAATACCTTGCTGCTTTGAAACTTTTTACATCAAGTTAACTAGCTTGAGGTTTTTTCTTTTAGCATCAATGGCGAAGAAAGGGTTGATGATTTCGCTTCTGTACTCGATGCTGTTTGCAGCGTTTTGTTTGAAAAATTGCCATGCAGCAGTCGATGCCAATGAGAGGAAGGTGACATTGTTGGCTTTAAGTTACACAGTGTGTTCTTGTGCGTCGGAAATGGTTTTGCATAAGTTTTCACTAAAAAAGGGCCCTTTCCCCTTTTCTATTTTTGTTTTTATGTGTATAGGTTCATGTTGTGTACATGGGAGACCGCCCCAAGGGAGAATTCTCAGCTGCAACTACCCATCATTCCATGCTTAAGGGTGTTCTCGGAAGGTTCTTGCTCCTATTCCACAATGACTCCTAATATTAAAAGGAGTAGAATTTACGTTTAAAGCATTATCCGACTAGATATATCTCAATACATTGTCATTTCCCACCTAAAAAAATTCGAATAATTAGTAAATGCTTATTCTGATGACTATACATCAAATAATATAAAACCTTGCAAATGACAGGAAAATTAATGCAATGTATAACTAGAGAACAGACCGCCAATGCTCAATAACCATAGCGTCAGAAATAAGAAAACAGGGTAAACTTTTTTTTTTCAAATATAGTACTATATATAACGTTTGATTTTCTTCAACTGCAGCGCTTCATCAGCCAAGAAATCGCTTATTTATAGCTACGGGAGCTTCAATGGATTTGCAGCTAAATTAACAGATGAAGAAGTTCGAAGGTTCTCAGGTGATGAGATCATCAAATAAGTAAAGTGAATAACAAAGAATAAAATTTCATTTCCATGGTCTGTACTAAAAAGAAATTCAATAAATTCCATGCAGAGATGGACGGAGTAGTTAGAGTGATCCCAAATCATATACTAAAGCTTCATACAACAAGGTCATGGGACTTCATTGGCTTCACCCAAGACAACGTTGGAGCAAAACCTGAAGGAGATGTTGTCATTGGGCTTCTTGATACAGGCAAATTAATGAATCCCACACAAACTGCTATGGTTTTAACAAAGATCAAGTCAAGTCAGTAAATTGAACCTTGTAAATTATTTTTTTGTGTTTAGGAATTTGGCCTGAACATGCGAGCTTCAATTGCCAAGGACTTGCTGCTCCACCCTTCAAGTGGAAAGGAGTATGTCAAGGGGCCAACTTCACCTGCAACAAGTGAGCTGTCTTTCTCCCCTTGTTAATCCGTTCTATCATCAAGAGATTAAAAAAGTTTTATATAGTCCATGGATACTATGAATAACTGATATTACAAAAACTGGAACATGTAAAGAGCATTGGTTATTCAATTCGGGCAACTAATGAAATGAATTTGGTAACTGGATCAGCAAGATCATTGGAGGCCGTTACTACAATAGTGAGAACTGGTACGATGAAACTGACTTCAAATCTCCAAGAGACTCTGAGGGACATGGGACCCATACTTCCTCAACTGCAGCAGGTGACAGGGTGCCTGGAGCAAGCTACTATGGGCTAGCTAATGGAACTGCAAGAGGTGGAGTTCCTGGTGCAAGGATTGCCATGTACA